ATATATATCTTCTTCTTCTCTCTTCTCTCTCTCTCTCTCTCTCTCTCTTTCTCTCTCTCTCTCTCTCTCTTCGATCTTAAGCTTACCGAGGATGGGATCCGAATAATATCCGGCAGCATGTGCTATGACAATCGTGCCGTGGTGGAAGCCTGCCACTACAAATCTTGCTTCTTCTCCGCTCTGTTGTGCATATTGACGAAGATCAAATTGGATCCGGACAGCTTCTCCGGCAAGATTCTCGACCAGCTGATATTCCTCGGGGACAAGATCTATCAGAAGACAGGGAAGCTTCGATTCAAACCGTATCGATGGTTCCATCACATAGAGATCCTGGACACTATCTACAATGTGATCACGAAACAGGTCATTTACGCCGATCCGGAGAATTGCGAGGACGACGAGTTCGAATTCGTCATGGACAATTTCTTCGAGAAGAATAAAACGGGGATCATCGTGTTCGCCAATTGCTCGTACGCCGTTTGGACGGCGAACGATCGATACTACTTGTTCGATTCTTATCCCTGCGACGACAGGGGGAACGCTTCCGAGGAAGGTTACTCCTGCCTGATGGAATTCTGCGACTTGGCCTCGATGATGGAGAGAATCGAGAGGAACGTCGGCGCGAACACGAAGAAATCGTATCGAATATACACGATATGCATAGCCCATATGGAGAGCAGGAAGCGAAAGAGGAACGAAAGAGGAAAGTGGGCCGCGTGGTGGAAAGGAGCGCGGTGAGACAGGTTATGGAAGAGACGGCCGGGAGAGGCGTGGAAGAATCGCCCGAGATGGAGACGACCGCGATATCGACCGCGTCCGAGGTCTCGTTGATCGAGCAATCGGATTGGGTGAGGAGCGAGGAGTCGAAAGTTAGCCTCGTGTACGATTTGACGATCCCCGGTTTCGCCCCTATCGAGCATTACAACGCTTCGATGCTCGACGTGCTCGTTCTCGAGGACGAGATCACCACCCCCCTGTTGCCGCCGTTCAAGAAATCCTCGTTAAGGAAATCGGCGGCCGCGGACGACGAGTTCGAGGCGATCAAGTTGCTGGTGAGGAAGAAGGTCTTTGAGAAAAAGTTCAAGTGCCACTCGGCCATCTTGACCCCGTTGGATCTTTGTATCATGGCCTGGTCGTTGATCCACGATCCGATAACTTGGTCGGTTAGAACGGTGAAAGGGTTGTACGAGGCGAGCGTCGATTACACTTTCGACAGTTTATTGGCCACCGAGGATTCGACGGTGAGCGATATGATCGACGGCCTGCTGCCCGAATTCGAGATAGCCAATTACGTGTTCCGCGTGGTCTCGGTCCCCCTTCACTACGGCACCCTCTACAGTACCGAGGGTTGGAATCTGTCCATGTCGTTGCAAAAGGTGTTCGACACGCCTAGCTACACGGGCGCGATACTCATCTGCGGCGAATCTCACATCGGCATCTTGAAGAAGGACGAGAATCACTTCGCCTGGTGGACGATGAAGAGGACGAAGAAGTTGAGGTTCGTCACTTCCGTGGACATGAAAGAATTCTTGAAACTGATCGTCCAGAAGATGGATCAACCGAAAGAAACGTTTTTCGTGATAAGAGTGATCACCGTCTCCTACGCTCAGAAGATAGATCCCGATTGTAGCGACACGAAAGGTCTTCACGAGCCGGTCGTACCGTTGTCCTCCCTTGCCGAGATCCATCGTATGCCGGCCAAGCCTTACGATCTCGAGGCGATCTTCAGGCCGACCATGCCCGAATCCAATAAACCGATATTCATCCACGGTACGGTAGCTCTTAACAACAGGGACTCGGTGGTCGAGCCCAAGGTGAAGAGGTGTTACTTCGTCGCCGTTTTGGCGGTGATGGTGCAGCGAGACATCATTCAAAGCCCGATGCCCGGCATGATAGACAAAGTGATCGAGGTCGCGGAATCGGTTTACAGGGAATTCGGGGAATTGAAATTTCACACGGAACAGATTCTGCGCAACGTTACCGTGATGAACAGGATCTTCGATTTACGGGACTTCGTTTATCCCTTGGTCAGATTCACCTTCAATCCTCGAACGATGAAAAACGATTTCTACGTTCAGGTTAGCGGCACCTTTATTCCTATCCTTCTTTGTTGTATCGCGTCCTCGTGAAAAACAAACAAACAAACAAAAAAACTCTTTATACTCTCTTCTCTCTTTACCTTCGATCCACAGGTAAAGAAGCACATGAGAAAATTCTTTAAAACGTGCTCGAGCGGGATCTTGCACTTTACCAATTGCTGTTACGGTTTCTGGTATTCGAGAGCGACGAACGCCTATTATTATCTAGATCCTTATCAGTGCAACGAGAAGGGGAAGAGAGTGGAGCGAGGCGGTAAAGCTTGCCTCTGCATATTTCCCACCATTTGCCAAATGGTGAGGCAGATGATGTTGAATCAATTCGAAGAAACGACGGGCTTCTTTATACACCGTCTTCACGTGGAATCGGTGAACGTGCCCCCGTTCAAAACGTTCAAGGAGGACCCCATGTGGTTGTATCTCGACTATCATTGGAACTTCAGACACGCCCCGGACATAGTCAAGCTGGGGAACAAGAAGAAGAAGCAACAAGAGGAAGAGACGGAGCAGGAAAACGTGAAGCAATTCTGGAACAATTACGCCATCGAGGTGACCAATCTTATTTACTCGGTTTGGGGTACGATCGGTTGCTACGATTCCAGATTCGGGGATCGCGCGGGAAGGAATCAGGCGGCGATCTGCGTCGCCGTCCTTGCCATGCAGTATCTCAGTCATCCGTCGAGATGGGGGCCCGCCATATTGGATTCGGCGGTGATCTGCGGTGACTCGTATTACACGGAGAGTCTAAGAAGCTCGATCTTGCGGTGCACGAAACACTTCAACAGGTTCAACTTGCAAACCACATTCAAGATCTTCCCCCACGTGTGGATCATAGACTTCAGGGACAGCATATGCGGAATATTGTACGGGGCTCGTAACAGGATGACCCTTGCCTGCGCCCTGAAGAAATCCTTCGAGGACTCTCCCAACGTTCTGATCGAATGCAACAAGATCACATTGGCGGCTCTGGCCGCCAAGGACGGTTACTACGTCGCGGATCCGTGCTGGGTCGGGCCGCCCCTGTTCACCAAAGACCACGGGGCCATGTACGTTCTACGTTGCAAGAATATGAACTCGTTGGTGTACGCGGTGATCAAGATGCTGAACACGAATCAGAGGCTCGACTTCCGCATATCCCCCGTCCTGTTCACGTTCCAACAGGAGGACTTCAACTTCGCCGACGTGGCGAGGCGGGAGCCAAAGAGGAAGGTGTTGATGGAGCCGCTGAGGAGCACCCCTGGGAAGGCGAGCGATCCTATAGGACCGGGCGCTCACGCCACTCCTGACGAGGACTCTTACCTCGCGTATCGCAAGAACCTGGGCGAGGGATATCAGAAGAGCTACGAGCTCGAGAATCCCGAGCTACCCTCGGTCGAGCCCGTGTTGGAGAAGGACAACATGACGAGCGCGTTGATCAGCACCACCTGGCACTTGAATCTGGGCCAAGCCGCCCCGCTCGAGAAAGCCACCCCCGTCTTCGATCCACGGTTGATCGAGCACGTGCCGGAACAATGCGAGGATCGGGTGGTGGACTCGTTCGAGCCCATGTTCCCCACCCAAATGTCCATCACCGACTTTTTGGAAGTTTGCAGTGGTTATCCAACGGTGATGGATTTCACGAGCGAGCAACCGCCACCGAAGAGGCCGCTCGAGTGCGCCGCGGCGACCAGCTTCCTAACGGAAACGGCTCGCCAACAGTTCCGAATTCACACCACCGACATGGCCAACGAGGTGTACAAGACGTACAAGCATCGGCTGCCAACGTTGGCCAGGCAGAGAATGATGCGGGACGAGATGGGCGAGGATATTCATCCTACCGAGGAGGCGAAACAGAACTCGCCCGATACCGAGGCGGAGACGGAGGATGAAACGTTCACGGAACGGAAGCCACCGAGGTTACCGATGAAACTGGATATTAAAATGGAAATTTTTCTTTTCTTTTCTTTTTTTTCTTCTTCTCTTTTTCAATTTTCTTCGCTTTTTTTTTCTCTCGCCATTAATTTATTGATATTGTTTGATATCCGACGACGAATTTTTTTCGAAAGTTTTGGTGAAACGTGTCCTCCGTGCCGTAGTGTCTTGGCGAAACTTTTATTTAAAATATTTTCGATATCGATCAATTTTGAATATAATCCGTGAACAATAGATGATTCCGTGGGATCGTTGTTGTGGTCGATCGATTTTGTCGCCAATTGATTTCCTAGAAATCTTAGAGTATTTACGCTGTTTTATATATGATGTAATATTTTATTATTACGTGTGCTTTTTGGAATTTATTGAACTTAAAAGGATCATGGAACGCCAGTTTCGTTTTGTGTTTCATTGGATGTGCTTCAGTATTTATATAGACGTATATTATTTTATATTTTATAATCTTTCGATGAATGCTTTCATGGACTATAAATAAATAAAAGTGACTATAAATAAAAAGATAACGTAAAAAAAAAAAAAAATGATATGTTTTCGTAACTTATATGGACGTGCAATAATGCACGTTTGTCCCAAGAGGTTGTTGCACAATATTTATTAAGCAATACAAATATGGAATGATAATTACGTGGAAAATTTTAAAACTGATAATAATCGAAACGTTTCAACGATTTATTTATTACATCTACATGTAGATGTAAGAAGTATCGTTCGATATTTCTCTAACGTTTCGCTCGAAGGTAAACCACTCCTCGAGTTCTATGACTTTGGTGTATGGCTCGAATTGTCCTTTATTATCTTGAAATCGTTCGATTAAGGTGAAGCGGTCTACCTTGGACTCTACAATTGTCGAATTCTTGTCTCAAGAATTTACTTGTGACTTTTTGTGAAAGTCAAGGTTACGCGATCAACGAAAATTATCACGAAATTCCTCCAGTCTCTTAGAAAGGAGCGAAAAGTAAAAATTTGGTTTTTCATTAATTATCTTCGAATAAAATAGCCAGATCAATCTCGAATTATGTAATTTATTTGACAAAAACGTACAAATTAGTAAATTTAATGGTGGACGGCAATTAACGTTAAAAACTTTACAATACGTATAATGATACATAAGAAATGAATGAATGAAAAAAAAAAAAAAAGATTATTCTATTTACGATGATAATGATACAAATTTAATTGAAAAAGATTTAGATTTTAGCCTTAATGGAAAATACGATATAAAATACGATTAATTTTTATAAAAAAGAAAAAAATAATTGTACAAATATTAGATATATTCGACAAATGTTAATCGATATTAAAATATGCGACGCATCTCGTATAATTTTTTTTTTTTTGCGTCTAATTATCATTAATACGCAATAATAATTGTTAGCGATACAAAATGAAATTAATACAATTTATTATATAATATATATATATATATATATATATTATATATCATTTAAGCATTAAGAAAAAAGAAGTTTCACAATATACAAAAACATAGGATATATCGTTTTAAAGCAGCTTGGTTCCTTCTGTTTGATATGATTTGAAAATTACACATCTGTATTTTTATTATCTGCAATTATACTTTTATATCGTATAGTATAAAATGTAAACTATTGTGCATTCTAAATCAATGAAAAAATAGTGTATATATATATATTATATATATATATATAGAATCAAAAAATTCTTTGTTTATATATCAATTATCAACATTTACATTTCTTTATATCTTTCATTTTGTCTCAACTTTCGTAAAATTCGTTAGATTCGTTAGATTCGTTAAGATATTCGCATCTTGTATGCGATTCGTAACAGTTTGCAGGAAGCGAACTTTTCAAGCGACTTTCAAACGAACAGCACGTACGATATTACATATTTATTACGCTCTAAATGCACGCGGTAACAATAGAAACGAGAGAATTTAAGTACGTGGAATCTGATCTTTCTTCTTTCGTGGGGGAATAATTTATAAGGCCTGTGTAAGAAAATCCACGGAGAATGGAATTAAATTTTAATCAAAATGTATCTTTCACGAGAGATATATTCGATGGAAATTTAATGCAAGCAGAGATCATTGCGAGATTATTTCGTTGTAAAATGTATAAATTCCCGAGTAAATTTATCGCGTTCCAAGTGAAAAAATTTCTATTATTCTCTATATTTCTATTCATAGTAATTTATTCAAGTGATTAATTTCTAAAGTTCGTCAATTGTTCGATCGATTATTCAGCTTCGTTTATTACGCGAAATTCTATGGAATTCTTGACCTTTTCCCCAAGTACCCCAACGACACGAAAGAAATAAATCAGGTTTTAATCGTTGCATTGAAAATGCACTTTTACGATGCCGCGTTAATCATTTGATTTTTTTTTTCGCACGAGGTGCTGTATATTTTATTTTTCCTTGCTCAAACTTGCTTGCTTTCAACCTTCGATCTTTCTCAATCTTGTAACGGGCAATGGACGAGTATCAGAAGGCAAAAACGGTTTAATAATGTAACGAATGTATTTATGTAGGTATATACGTTACCGGATTAAACACCAGTAGGCTCGTTCTTTTTCTACCTTAAAATTCAAGCTCGCGATGAACTCGTGGCTTCCTACGAATAAATTTAAAACGATTCTCTACGAGTATGAAAGGATTTAATTGGAAGCAAAAAGGAGAAGTGTTCCGATTTTGATTGTACCAAACTGTGTAATGGAGTTAAAAAATCTCTTTTTTTTTTGATTTTTAAAATTTTTAGAAATACTTTCGTAGTTTTCGTAATTTTACATCTCGATTTTACTTTCGCGTAATCTATGAAAAATGGAATTCCTCTTCGATCGTCGACGTTTCGATGTCCTTGTGTACGTTTAGTATTTAAAATTATTTAAAATAACTTAAAAATAATTTGTAAAAATAATAATAATAATAATAATAATAATAATAATAAAAAAAAAGAAACGTTAAGTAGATCGTTTAGATCCTTCTCAGTCGGATGCAACCATACGGTGTTTAATATTTTTAAGTACTACAATCATTTTTATTACTATCTTTCTTATTAAACTATCTTTCTTATCCGCACCGTACACTCACATTTCGTATTAAGAATAAGTTAAAAAAAACGTAGAAAATCTAAATATACGATAAAGGACGATTATCGTACACTGAAAAGGATCGAAATAATAACGTAACAAATGTGTGTTAATCACGAAAAAAAAAAGGAAAGAAGAAAAAACATAAAAATTTGTGATTGTTTCGCAAAATTTTTTTCTCTCGCGCGAACGAATTTTACTCCTTGGGTGACTGTTGTTCCTCCGTAGATGGTTTCGTGTATAAGATCTCGGCGTATTCCGTTTTGTCCTCGTTCAGATGCCGAATCGGAACATTTTGTTGCTGTTGCGTCAAATCCAATTCGGCATAAACTATTCCTCCTTCGTCCGTGGTTGATTTAGCAGCATCTTGGGCAATTGGTGCTGTTTGATGCTGTGGAATTCACAATCCTGTTAATTGCCATTATAATTCCATTGCTTCACGATCGGTTAAAAGGTTTTCTATAATTTATATCATATTCCACTTGAAATAATTTCTTTGCAAAAAAGCGAATTTAAAATAGGATTTCTCGAGTTATTTTCCTATCCAATATTAAAATATTCCTGGTTATCGCGAAATCTTTTTAACTTTTTCTGTCATTTCAATCGCTGAATATTTAATATTTTTTTTTTTATCGATATAAAAATGTAATGAGAAACTTAAAAAGCATAATTAATGTTATTTACTCGTTTATCTATAAGAGCTATTAAAATATAAAATTGTTTGATTCGTAGAATCGATTAAATTTGAATATGCACGAATCAAAAAAGAAACGCATAATTTTTTTCTCTGATATTTTGAAACCCCTTATTCAATAAAGAATAAAGGAATTTTTAGAAACAGTTAACGCGTTAATTTGATTAATCTTGAGATAGATACGATACATTGATCGAAATGAACGTAATTGCTCCACGATAAGAAGATTATTCGAGAATAACTTGTTTACCTTCTCATCATCGACTGTAACGACAGTTCTCATGGTGTCGGTGTCAGCGCCAGACACTTTATCCTTATTGCGTTTAAATAAGCTAGACAGGCTGATTCTCGATTTCCGTTCTTCTCGAGATCCATCCACTTCCGTTCTGGAATAGCGGCCGGCACTTTCCGTATCACTTCTAATCAATACAGTTTATTCTTTTTAAAGTATTTGTTATTTAATTTTCATTTCTTTCTTTCTTTCTTTCTTTCTTTTTTTTTTCTTTTTGGAAACGAGAATAAATTCGAAGTGATATTGTTCTATGAACTGAATAAAAATTTTTATTTTGAATAAAAGATAGAAGAATAATGTGGAAATAAAATAACTTCTAGCGTGGAATAATATTATTGATTACTGCGAAATAAATCGATAAATATGATTTGCATATTGAAATAATCAAGATAAAATCTACAAGAAAAAAAAAGTTTTATGTCTTTAACAACGTATACCGGCAATAATATATACACATCTTTTTTTCCCGTCTTTTATAAAGTTTGAATTACAAAATACGTCTTTAAAAATGACGTAATGTCAGTTTTAAAGAATCGCTTCGAAAAAGTGAAAAAGGAAAAAATATTATAAATTTACTTATCGTTGTTATTATATTTATGCAAAATAATATTACTTTGATACAATATTATTAAAATACGTTATAAATATATGGTTAGTCAAAATTTTAATCATAATTTTTACAACGTTCATATTTTAATAAGGCACAAATGAATGAATTGGTTATATCTTCTTTTTTTCAAAATTATTAAAAATTTTTCTACCGCGAATTACAATATTTATATCATAAAGATGAAACAATTACGTAATTTCTTGCAAAAAGAGAAAAAAACTAGGTTGTTTTGATTTTGCACAGTGACTAAACATATAAATATCTATCGAGAAGCGTGGAAAAATTGGACGTAGGTAAGGAGAGCGAAGTTAAAGCTGATTAATAAGCAGACGTACACAGGAAACAAGAAAACGGTGAGTAAACGGAAATATAGAAATTATAAGGTAACAAGCGACGATTATATAATTATCTCGGTATTTTCCATAAAAATTATGACGTTAACATTGAGCGCAAGCTTGATGTTTCTTTCTTTGGAGGAAGTAGAAAAAAAAAAACTCTTGCCTTTGCGTTTCGTCTTGGCTTATCGATTTCTCAAAACGAAGTAGATTAACGCTCGCTGCCGGATCCGCAAAGTCTTTGATTCTGCGCGATTTCCTGGTGGTAATATGGTAAATACCGATATATGTAATTCAACTCGTATCGATTGCGTTTTTCTTTCATTCTTTTCTTGTCATTTTCATTCGTACATACACACATATATGTATATATAAAAGAAAGTAACATAAATTTAAAGTGTGTTTATCTCTTCTACGAAGCACCAGCCAAGGAAAAAGAAAAATATTAGTTACGAAATTTGGTGCAAAATATTTAAAGTGAGTTGTGCTACTAAAAGAGAATACATAAGAAAATTTGTTTAGGAAAAGGTAAATACTCACGACTCGCCAAGATTCCTAGACGTCGTGTTACCTGTAAATAATCGAGAAAAAAAACAGATTTCGTTTAATCGGATCGAGTCATTTTCTCGTCGCTAAAACAGCGACGAGCGTTAATAGAGTTTTCAATTCCCGATTTCTATCTATTTACGATTAACGTTGTTGCAATCGATCAATTATTCGAGGTATCGAATGATAGAACGATAAAAGATTTGAAAATTAAGTTTTTTCAACGCAATTGAGTCGGTTGCTGTGACGGGATGGCATATTCTCGTGTACGTTCGTATATGTATTTAAAACAAATGTTTTATTCAAAAATCATATAATACCTAAGTTATAATATCATAGCGATGAATGAACTTACAATTAATTACATACAGCTCTTCTATATATTAATTTCATTTGAATTCTTAATTAAATTTACTCTTGCCTATTGCGTTGTATCTACAATTACAGATACAAAATGTTCATGTTCATTTTCTTTTCGTGTTCGTTCCTTACGTGGTCGTACGTAGTGTGTACGTGTATACATGCTGTGTGGGTGTATATGTGTAGATGCCGCGTGCACGAACACGCGTTATTTGTTATTTCATTTATCCCGACCGTATATAATAACATTCAAAACTTCATTTTTTTTTCTCTGTTTCTTCTTCTTTTCGTAGTTTTTCTTCTTCGTTTTGTGTCAAACAATGATTTAATCCATCTTTTTTTTCTTTTTCCCCCTCTATTCAATTTTTTTG